TCTCTCTCTCTCTCTGTCTCTCTCTCTCTCCCCCCTCCCTCTCTCACATATATATATATATATATATATATATATATATATATATATATATATTCTGAATTCATTTGGATCTGGTAATCTCAGCTACTAGGGAGGCTAAGGCTGGGGGATTACAAGCTGAAGGCCTGCTTGGGCTACTTGGTGAGATTCTCAAAAACAAAACAAAACAGATAAATGACATCTGGGGGTATATTATAGGTTGAATGGCAAAGTGCTTTCCCAGTAGGCATAAAACCCAGATCCATCCCCCGGTCCCATAAAAGTGTTTACTCATGATTCAGAGTCAGCCTTTGTACTTTAAGACATTATCAGTTCTACATCTAGATAGATGCTAAGGAGGAGGACTAAGTTTACAGAAACAAATAGGATAGCAAGGTGAGGGAAAACCATGTAACCACATGAGGCATGGTTAAAACCTGAGAGACACAAGTCCTCACAGGGAAAGAAACTATTCAGAGAACACGTAAGAACGCCTGTGTGGAAGAAAGATTTGATTTTCTCCACAATAGGTACCTGGAAATGTGCCATGCTGACTACACAAACTTGAGATTTGAAAAAGGTCAAAGGCCATTACTCAAGATGTGCTGCCAAGGAGGCTGCAAAGGGGGACATTACTTTGGAGTAAAGTACTCTCTCAGCTCAAAATAAGGAAGATAATCTCACTTTTTTTCATACAGGATAGTTTTGACCAGATGTGTTTTTTTTCTTATCTTTTGAGCCCAATTATGAGAAAACAAAACAGTATACTTCTTTCAACGGTTGTGATAGTGCTTGTTTTATCACCTACAGGGTACAGTCTATACATTTACCTACAACTGGCTTTTTAAAGGTAAAGCAGGAAGAATTTACAGGGTGATATAACGTGTAAATAACTAGGTTTGTTTTCTTTTCTGAGAACAGCTGGTGAAGTTGCACAAGTGACATCTCTTGGTGGCTGATGCCAGAGCAGCAGCCCTCTGACAGACAGGACTCTCTATACCCGCCCTCCTCACTGAGGGCCATGTGGTGAGCTTGGTGGCCACCACAGGGAGATGTGACTTGGCCTTACAGCCTCCCTGCATCCTTCACTTCAGGGTGTCAGAGTCCTCCCTCACATCTGCTCATTTCCAGAAACTTAACCCACTTCAGATTAGCTCTTTCCAGCAAAATATAAAACCTAACAAACTCTCAGGCAACTGGAAATTTCCTCATTTAAAAAAATCAAAGTTAATTCATGGGCAATGTTTTTCTCAGATGGCAAAATATAAAACCTAACAAACTCTCAGGCAACTGGAAATTTCCTCATTTAAAAAATCAAAGTTAATTCATGGGCAATGTTTTTCTCATCAAAAGCCAGTATTTCAGTTGTGGTGGAAGAAGTGTTTAGAAGGCGTTTTCCCCTTAGTTCTTTAAGCCTGGTGATTCTGTGGGGGTGGGACTTAGAAGCTGGGGAATATTTTAATTCTGGTTTAATTTAAATTTAATATTTAAATCAACCAGTTCAATCCCAAACTGGTTGATAACATTATTTAACATGGGGACATAATTCAAATGGAAGATAGCTATCACTAAGAAATCAGCATTAGCTGTTTAGCATAACCAAACATTTAATTCTCAAACATCAAGATGAGCAATGTGTCCTTCCTCAGTGAGGAATTGAGAGGGAAACGAGCCAATGGGGCCCCCAGAGTCCAGAATTCTGTAGATCCAGGGTGGTGCTAATGAGTAGGAGACAGGACAGGATCATTCATTTTTTTAGAAATTGTCCCTGTATTTTTCATGCCACCTACATATCCAATTAGTAACAGCAGGCCTAATGTTATAGCAACTAACCTACTTTCTGAGAATAAATGACTTAACTGTGGGAGGTAAGCTAATTCATTTGAAAGAAAAGGTTACATTAAGCCACTTTATGCAGAACTTAAATGCCTTTTCCCCATTAAACCAAATTAGTCTCTAATGCTATTAGTCACCTTATCATGTGACTTAATTTTATTGCCTAAAATACAACTAAGACACACTATGGAACACATCAAAAACATAACAATGCAAGTAATATATAATCACAAAATTTGCATCCCAAGTCACTTTTCTTTGTCCACAGCTCAACATTGCTCTATGTTCCCCTTCCTCACGTGCCAAGGGATAGAATGTTTAGAAACACCTCTCTTAGATCTGAGCTGGTAAAAACAGCCCCAGGGAGCAGTTCACATCATGTCAGTGTAAAACATGGCAAGTCTATAACAAGTGATATACACTTTTCACAGCCTACCTTCTCTCTGCTACTGTGTGCAGTTAGAGACCTTTGTGCTGCCCCTCGGAGAGCTGTTCTGTAGTTGTAGAAATTGCTTGAAGGGTCCATCTGATGCTGTACAAAGAAAATACTATTAACCACTCACTTCTTTACTGTAGACATTTACAAGATCCTGCCTTTAGTTCAACGTACAAATTCAAAGTAAGTTAGGAAATTCATTACAAATATAATTTATCCCCCCCACCACACACACACCCTAGAGTTATATGGGAAGGGCTGTTCAAGTTAACCAAATTTTCTCAAAGAGTGATGAATGAATATTCTAAGGCAATGAGGCTACTGTACAGAAGTACACAAGGCCAACTGGGATGTAGACCTCTCTACTGTTCAGAACTCTGGGTCCATTACAAAATTACGTGAGTGTGAAGTCAGCATCTTCCATCAATCACTCCCAAACGTCTGCCTCTGTTCATAAAAGGACCAGAGTTAAGCCCAGTTTGTGCAGCTCTACTCCAGTTAGAATCCCTCTCTTGCCTCTGGATCTGAAAACCTTTTCCTTTTATGGTACTATCTGATCACGAGGCAGCATCACATAGAGGAATCCCATCCAAGGGCCTTTCAGGCCCAGGCTGCCCTGAAACTCAGAATCCTCCTGCCTCAGCCTCCTGAATACTGAGAATCACAGGCAAGCTCTCTCTATTCAACTCTAAAACATCACTTTCACATACCTCAAGAATGTCAAACTTCGCAGTCTTCACTTTGGCCCAAGTTTTTTTTAGTCTCGAGACCGGGCTCATATTCATACCAGCTTCCCAATTAAAATGGACATGAAGAGAAGGAAATGGAAATAGAGAGGTAAGAAGTCATTCTAGCCTAGACTTCTAAAAAAACATGTGTTACTAAGCATCAATAATTGGGTTCTGCAACTAGGGGTAACAGCCTCAGTTTTACATTTCCTTGCAAGCTTTTCTCAGCTCAGAAACAGTAGAGCCGTGAACAGGGCTGAGCACATTTCTTGGGGAAGACAGCAAACATTTTACGGTATGCAGGCCATATGTGGGGACACCACACTGCACCACATGAGCAGTCATAGTAAGTACATAAACAAATGGCCATGGCTGCAATTCATCAACACTTTACGTAGAGATGCTGGGTTTTATGCTTCGTTTGTTTGGTTTTAGTTTGCTGAGGCAAGGCCTCCTGGGGTTCTGACCGGCTTCACTTGGCTCTGGAGTCAAGACTCAAATTGCAGAACCTCCTCCTTCATCTCCTACACTTTAGCATGAAAGGCAGTGGGAAAGGGGTCCACATGGACCTAAATGAGTACACATATTCACTTCATGGCACCAGTATTTCTATGTTTAATAGCAAGAAGAGGTTTCTAATTGAGGAAAGACACAGACATGTACACAGATCTTAAATGTACAATCAGATGAGTTTTATATGTGTACAAGGTTCCACTCCAATCAAGTTATGACAGAATAGTCTATCATCCATAAAGCTCCACTGGACCCATTTCTGGTCAGTTTCCACCCACCACCCCTTGTCCAGAGAATTCTCAACAGTGGACAAGGGTCACCTATTGTCAGACATTCACTGGCTTTGTCTTGGCATGAGTGGACTCATATTGCAATACTCTTCTCCTGCTTGGTCTGGTGAAGGCTCCACACAAGGATTGTGAAATTTATCCAGGTTATATATGTTTCAGTGATTCACTGTTATTGCTCAAGAGCATTTATTGCATGAGCACACCACAGTCTCTTCAGTCATTTACTTGCAAATAGGCATTTGGACTCTTTCCAAGCTGGGGCTATTAGGATTAAAGCCTCACTTAGTACAAATCTTTCTGTAGATGTACTCACTTTGGATGGGGCAGAAATATCAGTGTTGGGACTTCTGGATTACAGGGTAGGTTTATGATTAGCTTTATAAGAAATTGCCAGTTACTAAAGCAATAGAACTATCTAAAAGTCCCTCTGTCCCTGTATATGCAAGTGACCCTTACCTTGGACAATATTTGGAGCGACTAGTTTTGATTATTTTAAGTTATTTTCGTGTATAAGATGGCCCTTCACTATGACTTCATTTAATTTTTGATGATTGTTTTATACACTTAATATCCACAGCTATTTATCTTGTGGGGTTGCATGGTTCTGTTTGGATTGTGGATACACATTCCTTTTCTGCTATGTAATTAGTATTTTCTCCTATATTATGGCTTGCTGTGGCAATTTCTGATTAATGGGTGAAGAAAACTAAGCAACCCTCTACCACTGAGGCTGTCAGCTTTCAGGGCCCTTTTCTTTCTTTCTTTTTTTCTTTCTTTCTTTCTTTCTTTCATGGTCACTCTGCCCACTATTTCCTTGCCTTCCTTCCTTCCTTCCTTCCTTCCTTCCTTCCTTCCTCTATGTTTTTTTTTTTTATGTACATTGGGTTTTGCCTGAATGTATGTCTATGTGAGGATGACCAACCAATCCTGTGGAACTTGAGTTACAGACAGTGTGATCTGCCATATAGGTGCTGGGAATTGAACCCTGGTCCTTTGGAAGAGCAGCCAGTGCTCTTAACTGCCGAGCCATCTCTCCAGCCTTTCTGTCCACTGTTTTGATGGAGTCAAACATAGAGTATTTATAGGGGAAAAAAAAAGGTGGGTGATATACAGACAAAATGGAATAAGGGGTTAGTGAAGAGATTTATCAGGAGAAATATTAAATTAGCTAAATTAGGAAGAGTCTCTAGCTTCAAAATGATCAACTCTTCCTTTTCTTTTAAGCAAATGTTTGCTGAGCACCTAAAGTGTAGCAGATAGCCATCAAGTATTAAGATGGAGCCACAAAAATTTGCCATTGTTTATGTTAATAAAACAAGTAGAAAGAACCCGCTGTCAGTCATTACAATCCCTAAGATCCACTGGAGAGACCGGGTAGACTTCAGTTGTGAGAGCAGCAGCTGTCACAGAAGCATGGGCTGTTGGAAACATTTGGTTTCTTAGGCCATCCCTCAGGCTAATGCTGACAAAATGGTAGCATTTAATCTCAGATCCTACATTCCCATAATGCTTGGTATGCAAACTGTAAAAATACCTCTAGAAATCCTTTATTTAGACAAGTATGTCACTCATCAGTTTTGTTTTGTTTTTTCCTGTGTAGCCCTGCCTGTCCTGGAACTCCCACTGTAGACCAGGCTGGCCTAGAACTTGCAGAGATCTGCCTGCCTCTGCCTCCTAAGTGCTGGGATTAAAGGTGTGTGCCACCACAGCCCAGCTTCATCATTAGCTTTTACAGATGGATGTTTAAGGGAGGATAAATGACATGAGGTATTCAATGATCAGGCTTACTAAGGAAAGGGGATACACACTTGCACCAGTTCAGCTCCTTAAAGCATTCTGAATGCTCTGAATTAGCTCTGGATTAAAAAGAGTAGTTTTCATGAAAGATTTTCCACGGATACATTTTACAAGTCCCATAGTGTTCTCACAAAAACACTCACAGATTATTGCCATCAAGGAATTGAAGTTCCCAATGTTGAAACACTCTCGAGCCACATCGATAAAATATTCAATCATCCTTGCTCTGTGTTTCTTCTTCACAGGCTGCAAGGAAAAGGAAAATGAGCAGGCAGGCAGCAGCCCAGCACATGAGTCTAACAGATAGACAGTAAGCAGGAAAAATCAATTTTCAAAATCATGTATTGTCTCACCATGCAGATTTCTGTAGCAACCAAGTAGCTTAGGCGATTGAACCATTCTACGTAGGCTTCTAGATTTCTCGTTTTCTTCCGTTCACTGTAGCAAGTCTACAGAGAAAGCAACATGGACAGATGAGGTCTGTGAATACACACTGATGCACTCACCAAAGTACCCTCCCTCCCTCCCAAGAAACTACATTACTCTTGGGTGGCATGTGCCCTCAGATCCTCAATTCCAAAGAAGGATTTGCTGGTGAGTTTTAACTGTCACTTGCACAAGCTAGAATCACATGGGAAGACAGTCTTAGTGGGGAATTATCTAAACTGGGTTGGTCTGTGAGCAAGTTTGTGGGAGACTGTCTTGATTGTTAATGGATATAGGAGAGCCCTGCCCACTGAGGGTGGCACTCGTTTCCCTAGGCAGGGTGCTAATCAATATGAGGAGTGAAAGCTGACTGGCAGCATAGCAAAGGAAGGGAGCAATTAAACAGGCCTGGCTGCACTTAACTTCACTCTACTCCATCTTTTTCTTTTTCCTTTAGAGATAAAAAAGTTTTATTTTTGAGGAACATGTTGCTGTACTTGTTTTTTTTTAGAGACAGCAACATAAGAAAGCCTTTATCCTAGGAATAAATAAGGGCATAAAACCTCTCCTTAAATGATGGTGTGTTTCTCTCTGCTCTTGAGTGTGTGGTGTGACTAGATGCTTGGATTCCAACTTTGACTTGCCCTCAATGGTGTTCTGGAATCTGGAAGTGTGAGCCAAATAAGCCCCTTCTCCCTAAGTTACTTATGCCTGGATGTTATAACACAGCAACAGAAATGTAACTAGAACAGGGGCCACATGCTCAAAAAGGATGCAAATACCAATTGCTACCAACGAGGCAAGGAGAGGCTGAGAGCACGGGGCTAGAAACACCACTCTAAGATGGAAGGCAAAATGTTGGAGCACCATTTATCCAAAGACAAATGGAAATCTTACTCTCTTGAGTAGGGTGACTGACACACTGTTCAAAAGCAGAAATGAATCTTATCCTGCAGTTCAAGGCCATGCTTGAAGAGGTTCATTAACTCTTCTTTCCTTCCTTTCAGAAGACACAAACAAAGAAGCCCACTAGCTTCCTACTGAAAAACAGACTCTTCACTTCCCATACTGAGCTCAACTAGTCTAAGGCCGGAAACAGCTGTTGCCTCGTCTCCCCGAGGGAATTCCTCAGTAGGTGAAGCAGCCACAGATAGCTTAACAATTCAAAAATGCTTCTAGAGGTCACTCTAGAAGGAAGAAAAAATTGTGCATGTGTTCATGAAATGTATAATGTAGGTCCAGTACCATGTTCTTTATGTGTGTTTTGCCATGATACTGTCATAAGGGACTAACTTATGGCAAGGGACCAAGCCAACCCGAGCTCTGCTGGGCAAGCTGGAAGTACATCCTGTTTCCCCTGCCCCTGCTGTTGCTGCTCAACCACAGGCAAGCCATTCTCTTTGATTTTTCTTTCTGTCTTAACCTGCTAAAACCATTATGCTTTTATCATCTACCTTCATCACCACAAACACTTATATTTTGCCAGGAAGGGCTTATTAAATTCCCCAATAAGGAGGAAGTGATGGGGTAAGACTATTGTACAGGCACTTAGAGACCCAGCCCAAGAAATCTACAATGAATCACACACAGCTAATGAATGAAAAACACAAAACAAACAACTTGATCCCTATTACCTTATCATTGTCCAAAGGGTCCTTCTGCACGAACGCCTGAACAAATTCTTCTGGACCAATGTAATTGAGTCTCTCCTGAAATAAAAGCCAACAATATTAAAGAAAATGAGAAAAAACAGATGGTCACTTCCTCCCATCAATTTTGGCAGCATTCCCAAGCATTTAGCCCTAAATACTTTCCTCATCTTCAAAATGTGAAAGGAAGCAATGTTTCGTAAGACAGTTGAAGAAGGAACAGTTATAGAAAAATAATTAGAGGCAAAAGATAAAGAAGGTTAACAAACTCTTCTTTTCGGTTTTGTTTAAGTATGTGCTTATGAATAAATTCCCAGGATATCAGAAACACCCATATTCAAATGCCCAAACAAAACATGCTTCAGCTGTTTTATGGATTGTTTCCCTTTTGAGTTATTCTGACCTCTATCAGCAAACACAGTGGCGTTGCCAAAGCAAACTAATCTGTGGCCGCCCAAGGGCAAAGGCGATAGGGCCTTACCAGCTCAATGTGAGTCAGCTGCTGGGCCAACGTGTAAGGGTCGCTGCAGACTGTCATGATGTCCCGCTGTATGGACTGTGGCTTAGTCTTCAGAACTGTGAGCCTGTCTGTGGCTGTGGAGCTGAGTTTTGCCAGGACTTCCTCATACTGGCTGAGGGCGGCCAGTTTTCGGATCAGACACTGCATCATCTGCTGGACATTCTTTCGGTATGTCTGCTAGGAAGTAAATGAAGGATGACACTCCTGTCCTGAATATTGTTTTCCAGCATCGTGCGACCTCAGAGGCACTGCCTTCAAAAGCCTTGAGCTCTATGGGCTTCAAGGAGACCCATACACAGCAAGTGTTTAAAAACCTACGTTTATTGGATTAGTCTCTTAGGATGCTTTTGAAAATATAATTCAGGATGGGCCTTGAAAACACCTCAGAAACGTCAGATTAGCTATGGAGGGTGATCCAGTGTAATGGACGCTACACACAATGAAGTGTTCTCTAGTGAGACTAACCCTGTTTACTTCTGTTAGGCTAAACCACATGGATCCCAGAGCAGATCCTCCTCCTCCGGTGTTTTTCTAGCCACCTGCATGGCTTCTCCAGTCCTATCGTTTCCAGCCTCATGCTGCTAAGTGCATGAAGGTGCATGACAAGAATGTACCGTTTCCAGCCTCATGCTGCTAAGTGCATGAAGGTGCATGACAAGAATGTGCCATTACTTTCCACTCCCCTGCCCACTCACCTTCTGACTTTCACATCTAAAGTGGAACTGGGCATTCATTTTTGTTTTTCTGAACTACTCATGATTCGTGCCCATCCCCCCCCACCCCCATTTCATGAGTGGATATCAATGCTCACAGCCACTCTGTCACATGGCAGTTTTCACCACAATGCTACAATAGATGCCACCTTGTACATGATTTCATCATGCTATGCTTGTGACACTTACAAAAAGTTGATTTCAAAAGTATTTCTTGGATCATAGATAAGAATCAACTCCTTGCCTTTTAAAACACTTGTTAAGGCAAGAAATGGCTTCCTAGTCAATCCATCCATCCATCATCCATCCATCCCCTCCCCCTTCCTCTATCCCTCCTTTGGGTACACCTATTTGATATGGTGTTGTTGCTCTTGTCTTCCTTTTCTGGCCCCAAACTGCTAACAGCAACTGTCCTTCTAGGTAAATTACGATGCTCCTATTAGCAGGAGGAATGCAGACTGAATCAATGCCAGCTGGGCACTTAGGCTGGCAGTCCCAGGGAGTCTACTGATGCAGCAGGTCTGTGCTTATGCCTCATCGGCTTTTTTAAAGGTGCCAATACCATCTGCCAAGACTAGCAATTCAAAAATTATAAATCTAAAAAGTATAAAAAATAACTTTTTTCTAATTTGGCTTACAGTGTCCTTAACACACACACACACACACACACACACACACACACACACACACACACACACACACACACAAACTATTGACAATAAGAAAATTACAGATCTGAAAATGGCTAATTCTCAAGTCGGCAACCATCTTTTTTCTCCATCTTTCTTCCTCTCTACCTGGCAATGACAGTCAAACAAGCTCTTAAATATGCCCATTATATAACCTTTGTTTTTCTCTACCCTCACAGAGTAAGTAGAGCATGAGGACTGGGAGTTCAAAGTTATCCTCTGCTCTGTAATGTGTTTGGGACTAGCCTGAGATACATAAGAACCAGTCCCCACCCCACCCAATCCCCACAAAAATCACCTTTAAACAGCCTATCTCCCATCTAGGACTAACGTTAGTGTTGGTAACCTACTTATCACTCAAAGAAAATGTGTCTTCCTTTGGTATCCAAACCAGTCATGGCTAAGCAATGTGCTACTTCATCTCCACCCCAACCTCACCTTCCTTAGGAACACTGAGATACAGTAAAACTAACTTGTGTTTACTTCAGTCTTCTGTACCAAATGCCCACATGAGTGCTCCCACGACTTCTTAAAACTATGCAAATAGTTTCCAACATATTACTCTTCTGGAGAAACTTCAGCTACATCATGTACTGAATAGAAAACATGTTACAAGGTTGCATTTTTACAACATTAAAGTCTTTTTGCAAGAGTAACCCACAACTAAAATATGACTAAAATATGAAACACAGTATGGTGTGGGTAAGGGACATAATGGTCAATTTTTTTTTTTCTAAGAAGAATCCTAAAATTTCTAAACAAAACTTAATTTTCTAAGCCCACCGTTTCTATGGGTGTGTGTACATAGATACATACATGCCCAGATGCATTCTGGGAGGATATACACAAAACTGACAACACTTGGTGATGTTCAGAGAAGTAGGATTGGTATTTTTACTTTGATTGCTACACTACTCGATTTATTGCAAATAAAGTGAAAGCCCATCCAGTGGTATTTCTTGGATACCATATGTATGAGGCATGTGTAGGAAAATTCTCTTTCACTTGGAAAAGCAAAAAGTCATCTTTAAAATGTCCACTATTTTACGTCCGGCATGAGTTATTTCTACATCTCACACCTCACCTCTTCCTTCTCAGGGTCTCTAACACAGGAGACTTTGCTAGAAATGGCCACTTTTCTTCAGTTCACCACCTGAAGGCCCCTGAAGAGTAGCAGTGAGCAAAAGAAAGGGCTGAGTAGGGACAGCCTGCAGTCTTGGTCTCCCATGGAGGATGCAGAGTGAGCAGGAGTGAGGACAATCCAGGCAGCACGCTGAGAGTGCACCTCAGATGATTCTGACAGGCAGCAATGGGTAGGAAGCAGAGCTCACCTTCAAGTCTATCAGGTTTGTGTTCTCCACTACAAAATATTCTTTTCAGGAAGGGGTGGAGGAATTGTCACTAGTCACTAGCGAGCAAAAGTAATAGCAAGACACAATGCAAGAAAGTACACCATGGGGCATATTGATATTGGTGTGTGGAGAGAGAAAGATGGGGGGAGGGGGTATTGTGACCCTTTTCAAAGTCTCCTGCTTTCATCTGATTCTATTTGAGAAACCAGGTTCTGTGTAGTTAAGCATGCTTCCTCACTGAGTCATGCATTGCTAAATATGTACTTATTCTTTTTTATAACTTCAGTTGCCAGAGACAGTAATTACCTGGCAAATAAAGACAGAAGTTCTTATTATAGAGACCAGCCCCTTAAGGAAGAGAAAATTGCATTCTATCCACTCCAGTCATTTGTCATGTAATTCAATCATTAGTTTCATTTCATGTTTCTTCCAGGCGAGTCCTAATAAACCATTTTATTTGGGGCAAATCCCCCAGGGGAGAAGCATATTAAGCCAAATTATGTGGAACTGTCCTAGCAGATTCTGAAGAACTGGACTAAATCATATACAGGGCACACCTGGGTTCACCTGGTGCCAAAAACACTTTCCTAAAATCAGAGGCAAGAAGCAACAGGCTCCAGTTCAAACCCAGGCTTCTTCCACTGGGAGGAATAATGCTTCCCCATTCTCGTAATTGACTTCTTTGTTCATTCGTTCACGTCTTCTTTCATTCATTCATCCGTTCAAATGCTATGAGAACCAACCACATGCCAAGCATTCAGATGGGAGCTAAAGATGCCAGGGTGAACAAAGTGGGCATAATCTAAAGTCCAGTGGAGCAACCAACAGTTAAGTACAGATCCCAGAGTCCTACAAAACAAAAGGCACAAAAGTCAAGAATGGGAGGAGCTGTGACTAGAGTTATGGAAGTTCTCTTTGAGAAGGAAAGGAAACTGCCAAGACAATGAATGTAGCAGGAACCTCTTCCACATTAACACAAGGCGGTTAGTGTCATGATTTACAGTGATGGGAAGGGAGCTAGGAATTGCATGGATGAGCCAGAGCACATTCACCTCAAGCAACTGTTATGTGTGGACCCAATTCCTAAATTCTGGATAAAAAGCAGCTTCCTGTGAAACACTGGCCAGTCAGGGCAGACACAGCCTCCACATACCCGACCGAGTTCAGTCTATTCCTAGGTAAATCTTGTTTTCCTAGTAACACTTTCTCATGCTCAATTATCCTCAAGCCAGCTGACCTTCCCATGGTGTGCAAGGAATAGTTTATTAACCCAGGGGTTTCTGACTCTTTCACCCAATTCCTGAAGGCTTGATCTTGTTTATAAAGAGCAGATCTCAACTGGCAAACAAACAGAATGGATCACCATCGTTGATTTGCCTGATAAGAAAGACCAAAAGCCATCAATACAGCATTTTCAAATCACTGAATTTTATCTTAAGAAAGAAAAAACCCAAAAACTCAAGTGTTCCTTTTGGGAAGAAACAAGTTATGGTTTCTAATTTCTACCTCTATAAAAGCAACAGAGAACAATTAGCCGGCAGTATCAACAGTTCTGTATAATTGAACTGAAATGTAAAATGGATTGTGACTCAGGTCCTCACCTTTAGACAAGAAACAGCCCCAGGATGGCACTCCTCCTTTGATCAGTTTGTCACAAACCAAAGCCAACAGGTCAACACTGACCTGCCAAGCAGCCAGTAGCAGTCATCCACAATAGAATAAGTACAGCAAGGGTGTAGTGGTGGACTTTCACCGTCCTGGGTGCTCCTTCCCAGTGGAAGAAGCTGAGACAGGCAAATGGACAAGAAGACTGTACACTCACAACCAGCAGGGAGTTCACATGATGTCATAAAGCCACGGCGAAAGCATTAACTCCCAAGCTGAAAGCCACCCAAGACAGCTAAAGTGCAGAGCTCTTACGAGCCAGGTGTTCCTAATTTCACTGATCTCAGCTTAGGAAGATGACAGCGTGAGTATTCTCATGAATCAGGACAGGTCTCTTGAGCTCTCACCCCTGCAGCACAGAGCTGAGAGAACCCTTCTTCAGGAGCTGTCATGGAGGGAGGGGACAGTGTGACAATGGGAAGGACATCCCTGCACTGCCAGGTACTTGGGCTACCTTTCACTAGGTGACAGTGTTACACGGTGCCAAATTTGTTCCCAAACACTTATTTGCCACACGGAAACTACAAACATGCCCTTCTCCAGCAAGCAAGCCTCAACACAAATTTAGCCCTCTAGGCCTGCTTCAGATAACCTCGAATCTGTTGAAGCCGGTTAGCGACTGCTATCAAAGGCTCAGTTGACAGAAGTGATATTTATGGAGGATGACCTAAGAGACCTGCTTTAAATCTCCGCTTACTCTAGGTGCTAGCCTTGAATCAATTTCCAGCACCACTTAGATTGTTTCCTTCCTACAAGCCACCCCCAAGCCAGACACCCCAGCCCCAAGAATTACCTTCCGTTCACTGTAAACACTATAAAAAAAGCAAGCTAAGCTTCTTATATGAAATCCCTCCTAAGAAGGTTTTGTCTTCTGTTGTTTTTATTGTATTTGTCATCACGCTGCCTTATGTATACCAGGCAAATGTTCTACCAGCCCCAAGTGTCTAAGTTTTTCATTTAATGCCTAGAATCACTCTAGTATGTTTTTCCTTCCCCTTAAAATTATGTAACCAACTGCATCTCCCTTTTATCTGGAATGGACCAATCACAGCAGTCCTTTCCTGCTGCTCTTGCTCTCAACACTGGCATATGTTTCCCCTCCACCGTCTGGAATGTCTATTTCTACTTATGAGTTTTTAATATACAATGTATTTAGTTATATCTACTGCAAGTGTAGGCAGACACACAGAGAGAAGAATTGGTATGTGAGCTGGGTCAAGCCTTTGTAGAAGACAGACTGAAGTGAAATAAAATCGAGATGCACCTGGCATCGTGAATTAACATGAACACAGCCGGAAAGAACAACATAAAACTCCAGATCACACTCATTTGAAATGGGAGGGAATAATCCTTCCCCACATGACACACAAATATTAATATATGCTATATAGAGGGCTGTCCAAAGGTAAAACAAGAAGGCAGCTCTGAGTTCTGGGGCAATTCAGCCCTGATTCCCACCCAAGCTCCATCCGGAAACTCCACTGGCTTTACAAAATTCCCATGACCAACCTCCTCGCCACTGGCCATCCTGTGTGCCAGGTCTTTCAGGTTTCTCATCATTCTCTCATCCCGGAAGTCATAAGGAAATGTTTCTGTCCATTCTGTCAGGAGTTGAAGAATTTTAGGTGTAATTTTTCTCATCTGGTTCTAGGGAGAAAAAAAAAGTCTAAATCAGATATCCACCACTATGGTCTGCATTAAATAAATAACCAAATAACTGTGCCATGAACTAACTTTCTCTGCATACAAGCAACAGCTACAGCCACCTCCATATCAACACCAAGTGCAGTTAACAATGGCAGGACAGAGGGGTCTTCTGTGACTGCTCTACTGCTCTTTGGTTTATTTTATTTTGCAGTGCCGGGGATCTAACCGAAGGCCTTACACATAGGAGGCAAGCATTCCATCATTGAACACTCCTGTAGCCCTATACCACAGTCTTTACACTGTTCCCAATGCCATATGCATGGCCACATCAGCCTGGGGCTAAGCTAGGCTCCATTAAGGAAACCATCATCACAAAATCTAGGCCAGAGCTAGCAGATCTAATAAAGAACAACCTTAAACTCAAATGTTGCATTACCTTGTCACTATCCCCTTCACTCAGCCGCTGGTGCTCAACACACAAGTGGCAGACTTTGGCCATTAGCTCGTAAGGATGCATGAATAACCGAGAACTGAGCAGAAAGGTGAATATATATGTTCTCTGCAGCAAAAGAAAGAAAGTCGACATGGTTACACTCTCTGAATCTGTACAATCCCTGCATGCCATAATCTTCCTATACATCCAAGTTAAGAGGCTGCAGGTTCGGGTAAATGCCTGCTAGTGAAACAGCATAAGATAATTCTCCTTTATCGTCACCTTATCTTTCCCCTTAAAACATACTAAAAATAACAGGATAAATTCCACTCCTGAAATGATCCAAAGGACATTTTCTTATCTGTCTGTCATCAGGGAGCCAGGACATATTCATTTTCCAGTGTAATCAAGAATGAATTCAGGTCTGAGAAGCAAGACTGGCTTAAATATGTTGCCCAAATTGAATAATGTTATATGTCCACACATACTATTGTAACTGATTAAAAAAAAAAACAACTAAGAAACAAAGACCCACCCACCTACCCTACCTTCCCCACATCCAGTCAAGAATTATCTAGTGTGCTCCTGCTCCATGTAGCATACCCAGGGTTTATGTCACAACATTTGAAGGCTGACTTTTAGTTAACCTACTCCTTACTCAAGACTAAGCAATTTGACAAAGCACAATATAACACTATATGCTTTTCTGTAACCACATTGTCTCCCAAGAAGCCAGTAATGAAGCAGTGCTTATTTGTTCTAACAGTTTCAGGGCTCTCAATGAAAAGAGGAATTCCACGGATTGTTTGCTTCCCCCAGCCCTCCTTAGGCACCTTTAGTGGTTCATAAACACTTACAGTACTGAACAAGGGGTTCCTTTTACTTGTGATATCGAGTTTTCCCTGTGTGGGAACATATTTGAAAATGCTATGTACTGAATCACACAGAGATAACTCAGTAAGGAGCATGATGGTGAATTACTGTTGGCAAGCACGTGCTCTCCTTTGCACAACAAGGTTATTATTGTATTTATAAAAGCTAATAAATGTGGTCTCTAGGTATTTCCATGAACTTGCCATTAATAAACAGCTGCCCACTAAATTCAACCTTCTTGTTCTAAATTCAGCTCAACAGACCCAAGACGGGAGGGGAACTCACTTGGCCCAGAAAGGAAACCTGGTTTCGCTGCTGAAACTAAGAGGAAACAACGAGTAAATATGTAGTGTGGAGTTTCCATTGTCTCCTCTCTCGCCTCTGGGAACAACGAAGACTGAGATAATATACAGCACCTTTCCCAGGTTTGAAAGTGCCATTTGTACAAATGTGTGCTATCAAGGGAAAACAAAAGTGAAGCCAACACCACCCAATGTCCAATCTACAAATAACTGCATCTGTGTGTAACTTATCTTTCTCGTGTACTTTCCCTGGCTATATTAATGTCATACGATAGGAACACCCAATGTTCTCTCTTACTGCATTTTCATTTATGGAACAAGTGTACAGATACTTCTTCATTCAGGCTGCCTAAAATGTGGAGGACAACCCAAAAGGAATCAGATGTGGTGACTTGGCCACAGTGTGACCCATCCCCAGGCTCAGTTTTGGTCTCAGAACTTTCAATCATGATTATATATTTTCTCCTTGGAAAAAAATTCTTAGCAACCAAGTAATTCTACAGCAAGCACAGTATCCCTGCATAGCATACTACAATTATTAATCCATACCAAAAATGGGTTTCAGAGGGACACCTGATACCTACATCTGGATAGTATTCCACGTTGGGTACTAAGTGCTGGATAAGTGCCTCCAGAGATCCAGAAAGGAGGTTGTTGTCATGGTAACACAAGCCTCCACAGCTGTCCTCTGAAGACTGGTAGAGATTTCGGTTGTAACCACTGCTGTCAAACATTGCTGAAAAAGGAGGTGTCTGAGGCATACTTTCCTAAAAGGAAATAAACAAGAAAACACAGTCATCAGTGACATGTGACATACAAAGTAGGATGTCATCAGTAATTCTTAACAAAATTGGAAGACAGGCAACTTAAGAAAATAGCCATGACACACTATCAGAACCAGGAAGAGCCAAACAGCTCTGAGTTCACATGCACACATGCATCCAGTCAAATACTACAAAATGCTTAGATCCAGTCTGGACTGTAATCCACATGGTGTCATTTTCACAGGCACTCTTTTACAGTCACTTGTGAACAGGTGTAGAGGAACCTGCTTCCAGTTGCTTAACTTCATCGAGTCAAGGATTTTCAAGTCAAGACGTTCACTGGGATGAATTAGATAAGACTTAAGGAAACTCTGACAGGCCCTGGACATGCAGAAGAGCACCAAAGCTGAAAGTTTAAAAGATCCTAATTTACAAGAGACTGGACATGCAGAAGAGCACCAAAGCTGAAAGTTTAAAAGATCCTAATTTAAACTATGCACTGAAATTAAAGTGCATAGTTTGTGTCTTTGCTTGTGTGTGTCTGGCATGTATGTAGGAACATAGCAAGAGACAGAATGCTGGCTTCCCAGCATATTATTTGACCTTTGCTCCTCTCATCAAATCTTAGGTTTGGGATGCTGTGTGTGTACTGTGTGCAAAGCCTCTGGCACAGCGTACAGGCAAGCTGAGAAGGCACTTGATATTTAGGAACAAGGAGTACTGCCTCAGCCTAGATAAGTTGCTCTTGTCCATCTGTGTGTTCTGCCACTCAAACAGCCCCTGTCAGATGGTTTTCAGTGCAGGCCAGAGGCCATTGGGTTATTACTTGAACTCCTGGGGACCTAGTGCAGGGTCCAGAGAGTGGACTCAGATTTCTGACTGGGTGTCTGGACATTCGAGGCAGCGAGGACTTATGGAGTTTGGGGGTTCTGAGCTGAGGGAAAGGCAAACGCAATGCCCAGGGCTGACAACGAGAGAAACACTATACACTATGCCCAGGACTGACAGGGAGCAGCTGTGGAGGTTGCAGGAGGTCACAACCTAGGCTAATCCTTCTTTTCAAGATGCTGAAAGGTATTTGCCTCTAAATGAGGGGTTTGATCTCAGCCCTTCAGCAGCATCTGTTCCACCTATAGAGATGGGGTGGGGTGGGGCTAAGAACCTCATAACAAGGTGGTGAGCATGGCTCTGGTAGGAGGTATCCAGGGATAAGGTGTTAGAACAAAGACTCTATAATGCCAACATGACAAACGAAAACAGCATTCAGGAAGAAAGTATCAAGAAAGATATAGAGACATAGAAGTGCTGGAAAATGGTGGCGCACACCTTTAATCTCAGCACTCTGGAGGCAGAGGCAGGCAGATTTCTGTGAGTTCAATGCTAACCTGGTGTACATAGTGAGTTCCAGGACATCCGGGGCTATGTAGAGAGACCATGTCTCAAAAAGAAAGAAAGGTATAGAGAAAAACAGCTTCATGTTGTGATCTCTTTCCAACCAAAAGCCAGTGCAGAGAGAATTTCCAAAAGTTCCATAAAAGAACAAAACTGCTAGAAATGGGAAGAAAGTTTCCCTTGAGAACCACTTCACTGGGATTTTCAGCGTCTGTATCCCACGGTTATCAGCATTGTGTCTCAGTTACATGGGGCATGTAACACACAAAGGTCACAGACTAGACCATCAAGTCATTAGATGGATGGTTAAATAATCAGGACAACCACTCAGATGACCTGACATGCAGAAACAGTAGATAAACTAAAAGCAAAACAAAAACAAAAAACTACTTGTGCTATTATTTTTTTTTTTTAAATGAAAGAATGAATTGTTCCCAATGAGGGATTATGGTTTCCTAGATCGACATGTGATCACTTCCTCTCATATGTGCTCCAGGAAGGATTCTATCTTCCTTATGTGATATAGTCAGAGGGGCCCCTATAAGAGCCAATGACATAATATTTGGATAGTCAGTCTCCAAAACTGTTGTCCAATCAAATCACATTTCTTTATGAGGCATCCAACCTCATGCATTCCTGTAGACTAGTAGCCAAATAAATAAATAAATAAATAAATAAATAAATAAATAAACAAACATCTAAAAAGGCCACAGAAACTGTTTCAAGAGGTAGAAACTAGATTTCACTACAAACTACAATCAATTAGAAGTAACAGGTCAAGAGGACCAAGGATGGCCCGGAGGATTGTGAGGGAAGGGCTGGTACTCAGTGGTGAAGTTTGTCCTGAGTGATTAGGACTGACTGTAAGAGACCATAGAACACAGGCCATTTGCCTTCATGGTCAGATCCAAACTACTCTTTCTATAAATGTGGGACCTGGGGCTCAGGCAGGTAACAGGGGTGACCAGATTAACATAGCGCAGCCATGTGATTTGACTTCAATACAAAGTAGGTCTCTGAGGAATCTTATACCCCAGTGCCTGGGGCCTGTTGGCAGTAAACAGCTTACTGGATAATCACAGATCACCCCAGTTCCCTTGCAAGGGCTCATCCCCAAAGCTACAAGTATTTGTCACTCTAGTTTACTCTCCTGTAAAGTGGATAAGGACTTGGACTCCGCCCTCAATCCCTATCCCCCAAATTCAGATTCGGTGCTGGAGAGATGGCTCAGCAAAGAACTCGCTGTTCTTGCACAGGACCTGGGTTCAGTTCATAGCACCCACATGGAGGCTCACAACAGCCTCTAACTCCAGTCAGAGGGAACCCCCAAACCCACTTCTGGCCTCTGTAGACTCCTGCATGCATGTGCTGCACTCATGCAGGCATGTGCGCACACACACACACACACACACACACACACACACACACACACACTAAAAAAATAAGTCAAATTTATTGAAGTAGCGCTTGACAGCTGCAGAGAGTCTTTAGAAAGCTATTTGTCCCATATCCCAGGTATATTTCACACCTGTCACTTTCAGTTTTGCTCACCTCAACCCAAACCCTAAATGACATACACATACATTTTGTCTGCATTTATATCCTGTTTGCCGGACAATGTTCTTAGAACATTATTTGTAGAATGTGGAAAAAGTGTTTGGGGATCGTATCAACTCTCTCTGATCACAATAGCAGCACTCAGAAAATGCCGCCCCCAGGCTCCTCAAGAAAAATTTGTAAGTAGAGATGACAACCTAACTGAGGTATGTAAATCGGTACTGTAGCTTATTACACCTAAAACATCAATTGTAGGAAAGACTGTGGCACTGGCGGTTATTTGCCTTCAAACTGATCCAAAGAACTGTTGCTAACACAGCAACAGTCAATTTCTGAGACCCAATCATGACAAGAGACCTGCAGGCAATGGGCACATGTCTTTCTCGCCTTGTGCTCAGAACCGTACCTCTGCCATCTACAAGCCCTTGTGCTCCTCATGAGTTGCCCTTCTTCTCACTGTGGTCTCTCAGATGCTGCCAAAGTCTATGTTCCACAGGCTTCATTTCCCAAATTCCCCATTAAGTGAGCTCTGAGAACCCTGCTGGCTTCTCTTGCTCTAGTTTCCTGACTACAGATGCCTTTCTGGATTACCATCCAGTAATTCATGTAATTCTTTTTTATCCATTTGTGGTAGATACACTCTTTTGTTTTGTGCCCCCCCATTACAGATAAAGTGACAGGTAGAGGAGGACTTCAAAATTAGGTATCCAGATACCAGGTACAAATTTTATATTACTTATATTACATTGAAAATGCTCTCTGAACTTCTAATATTTAATCATAAGATGAAAATCCTGACATTTTATACAGTCCTCATGACTATAATAGATAGGTTCTGGCATTAGGGTCCATGTGCTTTTAATTTACTCCTTCCCAAACTTTCCAAAGTAAAGCCAGCCCCTCTACTGTTGACTCCTTTTCTCTTATGCAAAATCTGTCCTGTCCAGTATACCTACAAGTGGAGACCTGCTAACCAAACACCTTGTTTAGGAAACAGAGACTGTTTCAGAATTAGAGGATATGACAGCAGTCAGTTAAATCCTGGCTTGATCTATACCTAATAAACATAAAAAGAGTTAATTCCCTTGAAAAAGAGATTTGTATGAGATACATGAAAAACCTGTTGACTATTCAAATCACTACTTAACACATATTGCAGACTGGAAAATAATTCTCACCTTGAAGAGTTTCATTTCTAAGTTAGTTGCTTGAAATTCAAGGTACATTTGAGTCAGCACAGATGTTTTTAAAGAAATTTCACACCTCTGCCACTGTGCCCACTGAAATACACTGAAATGTCTGCATATACATTACTGGAGCTCCAGTCCAGTATAGGCTGCTGGCCTACCACAGAGCCTAAATGTCTTGTGTCTACTCCAAAGCAGAGAGCCTTCCTCCAAGATATTCAGGACTAGCTCCTTACAAAGTGTGTGTGTGTGTGTGTGTGTGTGTGTGTGTAGTACCAATTCAACTGAGTTAAAGAGAATACAAGAATGACACATCTTTTTTGTTTGTTTTGTTTTTCAAGACAGAGTTTCTCTGTGTAACAGCCCTGGCAGTCCTGGAACTCCCTCTGTAGACCAGGCTGGCCTCAAACTCATAGAGACCTCTGCCTCCCAAGCACTGGGATTAAAGGTGTGCACCACCACCCTGGACAAGAATGGCAGGTCTTAAAGTTCCTGAAACAGGCTCCCCGCCCCCAGTGGGGCATCACTATGGGTAGAAGGCATAGTAAGACAACAGGAAATAGATTTTTATTTTATAAAACAACAAACTAGGGTAAAGGTAAAATACCTTTTCAAACACCAAAATTACCCACAGGTTATAAATTATGCTAGAAAATTTTCAGATAGGAGCAAGACACACCCAGCCCAAGCAGAGAGGATGAATATTCCCTCTTAAAAATGACTTGGGAAAACGAAGTCAGTTGACAGATATCTTACAGGGGCTGCTAATTTGGGCACAAACATAGATCATGTTCTTCCAAAGACCCTGAAGAAGTTCAGCCTGACATTGATCCCAAGGCAAGGGAGCAGGCTGATGTTGAT